GGGTGAGCTGTTGGGATCACACATTAAGGGATCACACATTTGTGGGCCCTCTGGGCAGCTCTCTCTCACTGCCTGTGTTCGGTGCTCTTGAGAATGGCCGTTGCCTTGGGCAGACAAAGGAGGAACAAAGGCCACACTGGTTGATGAACAGTTGCCATTTATTCCAACTCTTGTCTCTCTCAAACTCTCTCCACAACTCTCACAATGCTCTTGCCTCCAGCTCTCTCCAATCCTCTCTCTAACTTGCTCCACAACTCCTTTTTCTTCAATCCCTGCAGCCACTCTCTATGTCGGACTCTACCCAATCCCACAGCAACTCTCTCTTTTCAATCTCTGGCAGCCCTCTGTCTCTTCTCTTCTCTCTGCCACAACTTTTTACCACCTTGTCCTCACCACACCTCCCAAACCATGCCTCCCTGCCAGTGCAATCAACATGTTTTTCAAGTCTTCCTGACCACCTGCAGCCCATGAGGGCAAAACATTCCGTAAGGTGTGTTTCTCCTCTCCTCAGACCAGCAACTTAATTAACATCTTTATGTTTACTTCCTAATATTTATCATTCTGTATGGACACAGTAATAGACAGGTTTAGTCCTGTAGGGCGACTCTCCTGGGGATATCGCACCACAGACTCAGACTACTGTGCTCAGGCAGGATTAATCATTCCTAACCCTAGCAGGGTCCAAATCTAGTTATTACGTTTTAGATCATGACAGAATTTGTCCATGACCTTGCTCTTATCTTATAGTTAAGTATTATGGCACTCTAGCCAGGCCCATTTCGATGCCAGGGTAGCTCATAGCCCACAGCTTGCCCTGGCTCCATCCAGTCCCTTGTCGGGACCCTGCTTTTGGGGATCTAGGTAGTAAGGGCAACTGAGGCTTAATTCGAGAGAGCAGATATTCAGGAGGCAATATTATCTTGAGTCAATCAATTCCCAAGCCACAGGCTTGTCTTTTAAACTGTGTCCTGTGTCCATAGAAAAAGTAATTGCTCTGAAGTAACTAACTTTGCAAAGGATATTAAAGAGAAGAGAAAAACTATGTACAAGTCAGCAGAGTCTGATCAGGAGGCAAAGGTAATTGACAGTTTGAGGGAGCAGTCAACAAACTCAAACTCCCTGTGATCAGGGAGGAAGGGCAAACCAATGTTATCTTACACTTAGCCCCACATACATACATACAGTGGTTAGTTCCAACCACTGACCAGTCCTCTTAAGCCCTGTTTTTCTCTGGCCATGGATATCAGTCTTCTATTATGAGTGCCTCACCCTGGGAAACTTAGTTTTATGATCATGGTATCTTCCCTGCCAGGTAAGTATATATACTTACTTTTTTGAAAAATCTCCATATTGTTTTCTACTGAGGCTGAACCAAGAATATTCCCACCAGCAGTGAATGAGTTTTTTTTTTTTTTTAAAAAAAACCCCACAACTCCACTAACACTGGCAATTTCCAAATATTTTTGGTATGTGCCATTCTCACTGGTGTGAGATGATGCTTACTGTTGTTTTCACTTGCATTTCCCTGAGAATAAGTGATGTTGAACACTTTTTTCATATACTTATTTGTGTAATCTCTGGGTGGCTTGGGACACCGCGCAGTGCTCTCTCTCTCTCTCTCTCTCTCTTTCTCCCCCTCTGGCTGTGTTCGGTGGTCTTGGGCCGCTCCCCCTCCCAGAGCAGCCCATATCATGGGTGGACGAAGGAGGAAACGAGGCCTTCAGCATGGTTGGTGATCAGTTGCTGTTTATTCTGTTCTCTCTACACACCTGTTCCAGGCTCACTGAGCCCCCCATTCTAGTCTCACACTGCTCCTCACTTCTGTCTCCTCCTGTCTCTCCTGCTCATCTCTTTGTGCCTCCTCTCACAGCCTGGTCTCTCGTCTCTCCACACACCTGCTCCTGCATTCTGCCCCTACATTCTTCTTCCTTTGTCCCACTTACTGATCTTTCCATGCTCCATTTTGCTGCCATGGTCTCTATCTCTCCCTCTCTTCCTCCCTCCCCTCTTCCGCATTGGGGGTAGACAATCAACATCAAAGGCCCTTCCTGATTGCCCATCAGGCTCAAGGGTGGAAATACCTGTGTTTCTCCTCTCCTTATCCAATACCTTAATTAACATGGTAATTAACATCTTAATGCTACTTCTTAATACTTATTTTGTATGGACACAGCAAGAGACACATTAAGCTTGTAGGGTGGCTCTCCTGGAGACATCTCGCTATAGATCTCTGACTACAGTGCTCAGGGCACATTAATCATTCCTAACCCTAGCAGGGTCCGAATCTAGTTGCTACTTTTTGGATCATGACAGAATTTGTCCATGACCATGCTTTTAACTTATAGTAAAGTATTATGGCGCTTTGGCCTGGCCCATTTCGATGCCAGGGCAGCTCACTGCTTGCCCTGGGTCCATTCAGTCCCTCGTCGGGACCTTGCTTTTGGGGTGCTAGGAACTAAGGTCAACTGAAGCTTACGTCAAAGAACAGCTGTCCAAGAGGTAATGTTCACGATCACGATCATTGTGTTGTTTGTCAATTGCCTCAAGCAGGCACTAGTAACGTCTCCTTTGTCCTAGCCCTGAGATTTTAAAAAGTGCCATATTCAAGGCTCTTTCAGGGTTAGGAGAATGAGACCCATCATTGTTACTGGTATTTGGCATATTGGGTACGCTACGGGGAGTTTGCCAGACTCTGCCGTGTGGGCAGGTTACGTTCGGTAGCTTGCCAGGTTGTCCAAAGCAAGAATGAGATAATAAGATGTGAGCTTCTGGGAATGCGGCTGCATGCTTCCAGGAGTTGGGTTTTATAGTCTCTGGGTCATGGCCATTGATGGGATTACACGGCACCAGGGGGCCAGTTGGTGGGTGTGACCCCTGCCTACTGGAAGATGGAGGATTTGGGTGGAGGATGCTCAGCCCCGATCTGAGCAGGCTTGAAGATCACAGTCCTTGGATCCGCATGCCTTTTTTCCTCTGCCGGTACCTTCATACGTGAGGAGACTGGTCTCAGCATAGTTGTGACTGGTTCTGGAGTTCTACGGCTGCTGGAGCTCTGCCAGACCCTGGCGCCGTGTAATCTCCCATCAATGTCCAAGACCCAGAGACTATAAAACCCAGCTCTCGGAATAGAACAGCACAGAGTCTCCTGCCCCTGTTCCTGGCTGTCCTCGCCGGGGCCCCTTGGAAGGGGTGGGTTGAGCTTCCCTTCCCACCCTGAGTAGAGCTCCGGCAGCCGAAGACCTCCAGCACCAGCCACAACGATGCTAAAACCACTTTCCTCACGCATGAAGGTACTGGCAGAGGAACAAAGGCATGAGGGTCCCGGGGCTGAGATCTTCAAGCCTGCTCGGATCAGGGCTGAGCATCCTCCACCCAGATCCTCCATTGTCCAGTAGGCAGGGGTCACACCCACCAACTGGCCCCCTGGAGCCTTGTAATCCCATCAATGGCCAAGACCCAGAGGTAATATTATCTGGAGTCAATTAACTCCCAAATTACAAAAGCATAGCATTAACTATCTTCCTGTGTCTATAAACAAAGGACATTGCTCTGAATTAACTATGCAAAGGACTTAAGGAGAAGAGATAAGCAATATTTGCAAGTTAACAGAGCACAAAGAAAGAGGTTACAAATAAACACAGAGGAATGGGAGCACTGTGATGGGAGTAACCCAAAAACCTAAGCTCCCTATGGCAAGGCAGAAAGGACAAACCAATGTTATTCTATACTTATTGACCATCCACAAGTCTTCCTGGAAATGTCTTTTTATTTCCTTTGTCATTTTCTGATGGAATCATTGGTTCCTTTGTTGCTAAGCTTTGTGAATGCTTTATACATACTTTGAATAGATATCTTCTCCCATGTAGTAGGGTGTCTTTTTATTTTAGCCCAAGTTTCATTAAATGTATTGATGGTTTTGAGACTTGTCTATGTGGAAACATGTAATTTAGAACTTCTGTATGAGTCTACTTTATAAGAGCATATTGAGGTCTGTTCTGCTTCTGATGGAAATTTATATAATGTTTAAAAGAAATAATCCCATACATAGCTCCTTGTACACCGGGATGAAGTATATTTGACTGGACTTCCTAGCTCAGAAGTCATATGTGCTTTTATTGCTTTGCTAACTAGCTATTGCCTTGTTTCTCCTCAGAAGGCTTTTTTTTTTGTGTGGGGGTGGGTGGGGAGTGGTTGGTTGTCTTTGGGTCCACACCTGGTGGAGTTGCTCAGGGCTTACTCCTTACTCTGTGTGTAGGGGCTCACTCCTGGAGACCTTGGGGGACCATATGGGGTGTCAGGGATCAAATGCTGATCAGCTGCATGCAAGGCTGCCAGGAAAGCCCTGATCATTTGACTATCACTCCGACCCGCAGAAGGCTTCTCCTGCTTTACATTCCTACCAACAGTGCATGCTGGTCTGTATTGGCCTACACTCTTGGCAATGGGAGGTAACATTATCTCTGCCAAGACTCAGAAAAGATTGATGGGAGAGGAATGAGGAAGAAGGTGGGCAGGGTTATGCAAGTAGAGGAGAATGCCAGCTCCAGTGAATTTTCTCTTAAATTAATTTTAATGAGAAAATATTTTTGTTTCCTCTGTTTTGGTGAAAATGTTTTGTCTTCTGTGGGAAACTGTTACAATTTTACTTTAAAGTAGAAGAGGGCTATTTTTCCCTGTTTGCATTCTTGGCAAATAAATAGAATAGCCCAATTAGCAAGTTAATGTTCTAAATGTTCACTTGCAGTAATAGTTATTTTTAAATGTTTGAAGTAGCACAGAGCATTGGGTTTATTCTTAATTGCTTTTTAAAGTTTTGAATTTGTTAAGATCGAATGAGCATGTGGACAAAACTTTATGGATAAGGATTAAGCATAATTATTTGCTGCTCAAATATCCATTTTGAAATGGGAAAAACAAACAATGGGAAATGGGCTTACCCTGTAAAACAGACAAGAAAGTCTGAAAAGTAACTCGATCCCTTTGTCTTGTTTTCACAACAGGTAACAAAGGAGAGATTTCACAAATCTCAACTTTGGGGATTTTGCAACAATGTTAGGATGTTGGTGAGCGAAGATAAACCAGGAATAGGTGGAGAGTTGTTTCCTGGGCAAAGGGGGAAGCCTCCGTATACTGCATTTCCTCGAGGAAATGGTTACTGTGCACCGTCCTGGGCAGCTTTTGATAAACAGGTGAGTCACTTGATAGTCGGAGAAATGTAATGGTAAAATGTTGTGTCTTCTAGATTAAGTAGTTTTGCTAGATTTGCATTAATATCCTCGTAAATATTAAGTCAATTTCATTGTTGAACACATATTCAAGATCAAAAGTATCCTAAACCAAGTTGGGTTATTTCCTGCACATATTTTTGACTAAACACGGTGGTTGTGGGAGGCCAAATGTTCATTTTTTTTTTTTTGGTCACACGAGGCTGTGCTGAGGGCTAACACCTGGGTCTGTGCTCAAGGATCACTCCTGGTGGACTCAGGGGGTGCTGGGATTCCAATTGTGTACCACTGGGTTGGCAGCATGAAAGGCAAGCACCCTACCCATTGCACTATCTCTCCAGTCCCAAATCTCTATCTTTCATGTTAAATACTTTCTACCTTGCCTTCATCGCCCCCTGAACAGGAAATTTTGACCTGCTACAGTGTGGTGGACTCACATTTTTCCTTAGTGAGTTGGCATTGACTAAGTTTGTTTGTTTTTTTCCCCGTGGAGGCCACACTAGGTTTGCTCAGAGCTCACTCCAGGCTCTACACTCAGGGATCGTTTCTGATGGTGCTTGGGGGACCATATGGGGTGCTGAGGATCAAACCCTGGTCAGCATTGTGCAAGGCAAGCACCTTACTCTCTGTACTGGTCAAAGTTTGTTTGATTTTGAATGTGGCATTAGGTTCCTTTATTCTTTTCTTCATACTTATTGTAGTTCCTCATATCTGACGACCAAAAGGGTGATATGGCAAGAGTAGAAGACATTAAGGAAGAGGTGCCATTATTGGACAGGCATCTGAATGTCTTTTATATGTGTGCATAAACATAACACATTGAGTATTAACAATTAAAAAAGGCAATGCATTTGGATATCTTCAAAAAGGAATAAGATTAAAGGAAAAGTATCAAAGGTTGCCACTTATTTCCCAGAAGTCAGCTATATGAATGTACTGACAATCACGTGTTCTGTTCTCCAAAACAAAATCTGCTGTTAGATTATTTAGGTTCTGTAATTAAAAAATAATGACTAGTGAGATATATTAAGAATTAAAATCTCAGTCTGCTCAGTCTGCCAGGTGTTTGTAACATCCTTAACATGGGCTATTTGGCAATACTTTGGTTCCAGTGAAAATGTTTTCAAATTTTGTAGAAGCGACACATCCCATCATCTGCATTAGTGTCTATCAATTAGAGCACCGATGTTTTTTTGAAACCCAGTTCTGACACTTAAGATCTAACAGACTGCAGGGAAGCTTCTTTCCCAGGAAACTCTCTACTTTGAACATGGGACAATATTTCTCTTTTTGATTATTTTCAGTACCTGACTGAGTGCTGGGTCCAGAGTTCAGAAACAATTTTTTGGATTGACTTACTTGAGTGGATCATGCATGGCTTCCTGTTAATATTAAACTTATAAGTGTTTTCACATCTTCATTCTGAAATATTTAATTTATAAGGGAAAATAAAAGATACTTTTTACAGTTCTCTGTCCAAAAGAGGGTATTGGCAAAATATTAAACAAATCCACTATTGAATTAATAATGCTGTAGGCCACAATATGTTAAACTCTTTTCTTGTGTTTAAAGTTTTATTTTATTACATGTTTTTCTCAATATTTAAAATGTGCCTTTCAAACCTATTTTGCAGCCCTTTAATTACTTATAAAATTATGTCGAATATTTCATGAAGTTGGAATAGTTTTAGCTTCAAACTACTTGAGAAAATGAAGAGCTTGCTCATTTCAGACCTGACTAAATGCAACATAACTCTTTCAGTTATTTTGTTGGTCAGCTTCAATTAAATATTCATTGAGCTTTAAATGAGACACTAAAACTATGAAATATTTACGTGCAGTGATGAAATTGTGAACTGCAGACTGGATCCTAGTTAATACCAAAGCAAATTATAAAACGCTTTCCATATTTGTGGTTCAGCAAAACAAGTAACACCTGTTAATCATTTTTCTTGAAAATGAGACATTTTCAACTCAATGCTGGCTTTTCCAATAGCTTTTAATCATAGCAACAAATCTAGCGTTGAAATACAGTTCTTTGGAAAGTATATACAAATGAATGTTTGTAGTAGGTACTTTTGGTGCCTGCCCAGGTTCATATTAGGAGTGGGACTCCCATCCCCCAGATGTGGCAACTGATTTGGCAAACAGCTCACTCTATAACTCTCTCTGGAGTTACATTTTTGGTTTATGGGGTTGATGTCACGCAGAAAAACTTGGGAGGGTACACTGGCCTCTTCCCTCCAAGAGGGGGCAGCCTTTGGCCGACTAATTTGTCAGAGGCAAAGGGCTGAACTTCCTCAAGGCTGGACAATTCTGTGCTGTGATTTAGGTTCATTACGCCTGGTGGGTGCATCAGGGCAAGGTAGAACTTGCTGTGAGAACGCTTCCTTGACTCATTCCCCTTCCCTTTACTGCTCCCCTTCTGCCCTTACCAAGTTTCTGCCAAGATAGTGCCCTTAATAATTCACATGTCCCTAACTCCCCGTTTCACACTGTTTCTTCAGAATCCAACCTAGGACAGCATTCCAATTTTTATCCACAAATCCTTTTTATTTTTATCCATACATCCTTTAAAGCAACCGTCAACGTGCTTTGCTTAGACAGACCATTATACTATAAGCTGCAAGAGATTATTTGCATTCTCTAAAAAGACCCAGTGATGCTGCATGGCCCTGTGGCAGATATTTCCAACTGTTTTTCCGTTATTCACTCCCCTTGATTTTTAAGGACAGGACCCTAGTTTTATACAGACCGGATATAGGTCCACTTAAAGGTGTTTGCCTTGGAGCCACATGCTCACTTCTGGCCAATTAGAAGGTTTATTAAGGGGCACCCAAAACGTTGCTGATCTCATTAAGAGAGTCAAGCTCAGCTGGTCTAATTTTCCTTCTCTTTGCTTTTTCCATCTTGAACAAGGACATGAACTCAGGATGTGTGGCAGCCATTTTGTGAGCACTGCAGAGCCGAAAGGAACCTAGGGCTGTGTTGACGTAATGGGACCAACCACCATTTCAGGTTCCATCTATAGCTCTCTGGACTTGGTGATTCATAAGAAACATCACCCACTATTTCAGAGGTTCTTATTTCAGGGAAGCCTTTGGAAATAAGTGGAGGTGTTTTGGGTTGTTATAGTAACTGAGATCAAAAAGGGCTGTACAGGGTGAGGTGAGTGAGATATTGACCTTTGGTATAAAACTAAAAGGCTGGAGCTATAGTATGCGTTTGTCTTGTGCATGCTGACGCTGGTTGGATCCCCAGCATCCCATATGGTCCCCCAAGCATTGCCAGGAGTAATTCCTGAGTGCAGAACCCCTGAACACTGCCAGGTGTGACCTAACAAGCAAAAAAAAAAGACATAAAGGGGTTAAATCAAGCTAAGTAATATTTTGATGGTACAGCCTTAACTATAAAATCAATGAAAAACATTCACATTGAACCAAAAAAAATTAAGTTTAAATACAGGCAAGATCAGCAACTGTGCCATGCAAAACCACATGGAGGAACATGAAAAAATCAGTAACAGGAAAAAATCAGTAACACTGATACCATCTTTATGTCACATTTTGTCATTTTAATATTTTGTCTGGGGCTGCAGAGATAGTATGGTGCTTAGGGTGCTTACCTTGCATGCGGCTAACCTGGGTTCAATTCCTGGCATCCTATATAGTACCCTGAGCAATGCCAGGAGTAAATCTAGAGTACAGAGCTAGGAGTAACCCCTGAGCCTTTCTGAGTGTGACCCCAAGATTAAACGCCACCACCACAAAAACTACCTAACCCTGGGGCAAGGCATGACCTGGAGATATTGCTGCAGCTAGGTAGCTGGGAACCACCCATGTATTTATTTTATATTCTGAAGTGTGGCCAGGGCAGCCCCACACTGGGAAAATCTTTTATGTAAAATGCCAATAATATTTCATTGAGAAACACAGTCTTATGTTTAAGCTCCTCCTGCCCCCACTCATATTGGTGGAGTTCATGCAAATAGCCAAATAAGAAATTTGCTGCTATGGTATTCATCCCTCAAAAACATTATTTCAGTAAATCCATTTAAGTTCAAGTAGACGCATAATTCACTCACACCACTTGGTTCTAGTTATCACCCAGAATCTTCACAGGAGTATTTTTACTCTTTAAATGAAGAATCATAGGCGGCATGGAGGCCAGGTTTGGAATCTGAATGTTGGAAGCACTGATTCTGGATTTGGTTCTGTCATCAGTTAATAGTCATCTTGTCTCTCTGTGTCTCAGTTTCTATGATTTTAATGCAGGTCCTGGCTAGCTTATCTCTAATATTCTCTGATCTATAAACAGCATACTCGAAGAACAAATTCATGTGTTCTATGAACAGATTCAACTAGTTCACCCTGGACCTGAGCCCAGACCCTGGATCTCCTGACCTGCAGTTCTTTCTAATTGCTCTAGGCACTTACTGCTTCAATATTAATTGTTCTGTGGCAGTTAGTAGTTTATCATATGCTACTATTACTACTGTACGTGATTTCTTATTAGCTACCTTTATATAAAGTCAGAGTAGTTAGAAATCTCAGTTGATTGAATGTTTTTATATGACATTTATCTGGATGTTAAGACTACAATTATACACTCATTTCATTTCTGAATGGCTTCTGGTTAGTCTAATTTGTTTGCTGTATCCCGTTGATTTTATAATAGTAAATGGCAGCAGAGAGGTTGATATTATGGGATGTGTATGCACTTAAAATATTTTACCATTTCATATAATAATTATAATAAAAGCTACTGATCACAGAATTTTTATTCCTTAATGTTGGGTTTGTGGTGAGCTGATTACTTATATCATACTGTGTGAACTTCTATGCTTTGAATAATATAAAACTAAACTTTTAAAGTATAATTTTCATCTTTTGGATCACTTTGAATTTTTTTTAAATTTTTTATTAGTGAGACACCATGAGGTACAGTTGTAGACTTACAAATTTT